TCCCCAGCCCCTGGCAGCCACTAACGTGTTCCTCTTTGCTCTCGTGTTGCCATTTCAAGACTGTTATATCAATGGAGTCACAGTGACCACGTGGCACTCGGCACGATCCTCTGGAGACGCATCCAGGTTGTGGCCTGCCGGTGGTTGGGTCCTTTCTCTTGCCAAGGGGTGTTCCATAGTGTACTTGCCATCCCGACGAATGATATCTGGGTGGTTCCAGTTTTCAGCTATTCCAAATAAAGCTGCTGTGGACATCATGTTCATGTGCACATGGGTCTGTGCGAAGATCAGCGTCCTGCTCAGATAAATGCCAGGGGTGCCATTGCTAGGTCATGGTTGTTGTGTGCTTAGTTCTTTTTTAGTGGGGGAAGGTACCAGGGATTGAATTCAGGGGCACTCAACCACTGAGCCCCATTTTGTATTTTTTATTTAGAGACAGGGTCTCACTGAGTTGCTTAGTGCCTCACTTTTGCTGAGGCTGGTTTTGGACTTGTGATCCTCTTGTCTCAGCCTCCCAAGTCTCTGGGATGACAGGCAAGCGCCACTGCGCCCTGCTGTGTTTCGTTAGCAACCAACTTCAGGCACTTCAGAACAGAAACCCTCTCCGCCACTGGGTGATGCTGCTGTTCCCTCTGGCTCTTCTGGGTGTGAGCAGAACCCGTGGCTTTCGTCCCCTTTCCCGGATGGCTAGTAGTGGGCATTTTTTCATGCATTTTCGGTCACATCTCTGTCCGTGTCCTTGGCCCACTTTCTAATTGGGCTGTTTTTTGCTGTTCTGAGAGTTCCTCATCTACTCTAAGTGCTGAAGTCTTTTGTGGGGTTTTTGGTTTGCAAGTGCTTTATCCTAGTCTCTGCCGCTGTTGTTTGGATCTGGAATGTCAGGGCCACATGTTAGGGGCTCAGTCCTCAGCTCGCAGTGGCTCCTGGGAGGTGTGGACCCTGCAGGAGTAGGAACTGGTGGGAAGAAGGTAGGTCACTGGGGAGTGCGTCCTTGACAGGGACACTGGGACGAAGGCTTTTCCTGTCCCTTTGCACGTCACTCTGCTGAGTACTCTGTCAGGATGCACAGGCCCCTCGAGAGGAAACTAGGCGGCAGGGCCAGGTGACCATGGGCTGAGCCCTCTGAATCCATGAGCTCAAGTCCGCCTTTCTTCCTGAAGTGGGTTATTTCAGGTTGTTATGGAAACAAAAAGCTGACACACGTAGCTTAGATTTCATCCTCTCTGCAGAGACTTATTCAGAACAAATGGTTTTAATTTTGAGGAAGTCACTTATTTCTTTTTATGCATTGTGCTTTTAGTGTCAAAAATTCTTCACCTAGTCTGAGGCCCCAGAAGTTGTCTGTTTTGTTTTCCATAAATGTGATCCATTTTGAATTAATCTTCATAAAAGACTGAGGTCAAGGCTCTTTTTTTTTTTTTTTTAAGCCTATAGATGATCAGTTGTTCTGGTACCCTTTGTTAAAAAGGCATCTACCTAGCCCCTACATACCTGTCCCTCTGCCAATACCACGTCTGTCCCTTGGTTTTTTAAAATTTTTTTTTAGTTCTCAGTGTATCTTTAATTAGCTGATTGATTGATTGATACGTGGTGCTGAGAATTGAGCCTAGTGCCTCACACATGCTAGGCGAGTGCTCTGCCACTGAGCCCCAGCCCCTATGTAATGAGTCTTGAAATCAATAGATTAGTTGTTCCTCCCACTTTGTTCTTTTTCAAATTGTTTAGGTTATACATTTTTCTTAAGAATTTGAGAATTACCTTGTTTACATCTAAAAGTATTGCCAAGATAAACCTGTACGTCAACTTGGGGAGAACTGACGTCTTGACTGTGTTGTATCTTTTGGTCCATGAACATGGTATATTTTTCCATTAATTCAACTTCTGTTTTGGAGATTTCAGCATCTTTCCCTGCATGTTTTATTAGCTTTAAACCCAAGTATTTAATTTTTCTAAACAGTGGTACTGTTTTTAATTTGTTTTCACAAGTTCATTGCTGTTATGCAGAAATAGGGGTTTGTAAGTTTCTGATGTATCCTCAGATTTTGATGTACTCCCTCATCTTCTAGGTGGATGCATCTGGTTAGGTAGACTCCTGGGAATTTCCAGTGTGTGCAGACAGGCTAGTCGTCTACTGATGTGCAAGGTTTCTGACCTAATGATCTTTTAAAGCCTCCCCTGGTGATTTCTAATAAGCAGCCGAGGCTGAGAACCACTGCTCTTTGATCCGGTCCATCAATGAGCCGAGGTGCTCTGACAGCAAGACCCATGTGCATGGACCCCACACAAAGTCCACTCTGCACCTGGTGGCCTGTCTCAATGTCAGGCCTGCATTGTTACCAGGCTTGAGTTTGCTGCTAAGGTTGACAAGGCCTTGGGGCCCTGCCAGGCAGTCCCTCGTGCCCGAAAAAAGACAAGTAGGCTACGGTAGGTCATCAACCAATTTAATGAACAAAAGAATACTGATGTGTATAAAAAGCCATTTTTGTCTGTCACTTAGTGTCCTCATTTTCTAGATGAGGAGTTGTCATTGCCATGGTCTACAGCGCCTGTCTGCCCATAGCCCCAGCATCTGGGCGTGCGCTGGCTGTCACCACAGGGCAGGAGCTGCCCGTGGAACGGGTGTGGCCCCGGGGGGCTCTAGTCAGCCTCTCGTAAGTATCATAGTCTTGTTCTTGGCCTGAGAAGGCCACCAAAGTTAAAGTCAAAATAACTGCTGCAGAATGAACGTCTGCCCTGTGAGGTCCGCCCAGGACCGTGAGGAGGCCAGGCCTTGTCCCAGCCCTTCCTCAGCCTGTGGTTCCCAGTTGAGGGCAGGGCTCTTTAGGACCCGCTTTCTGGCATTAAGGAGCCAGCCCTGCCAGCGCTCAGGCCCACCCTGGGGATCTTGCCGCACCACACCACAGAGGGAAGAGCCCTGGGAGCTTGGGGAAGGGGCCCTCGTGGCCACCAGCTGGCAGGTGGGAATGCAGTGGCTGGCACATCCCGTGAAAGAGCACAGGGCTCTTCAGCATGCACCCCTGTGGGGATGGGGGGTGGGGGGGGTGGATGCGGCTGCAGGCCTGGTCTGGCCTCTCTAGGACCAGGGGCGGGAGAGCCTCAGGCACGAGGGTTGCGGGCCACTGCCCCAAGAGCTGGGTGGGCCACCGCCCCAAGAGTTGGGTGGGCCACCGCCCCAAGAGTTGGGTGGGCCACAAGCAATCCCCAGCGCCCAGGCTCTCCAGCCCATGCGGGGGCCACTGGCCAGCCGCCAACGCTGCGCAGGCAGGCCCCAGGGGGCCCTGAGGTGGAGGGCACGGGTCCCTGGGACTGTGGCTCCAGCACCTCAGCCTTCAGCTTCTGAGCAACCCGGCAGGTGCTAGCGTCTGCTCTGCGGGGCGTCGCCCTGCTGAGGGGCCCTGCAAACCACCAGAACCCGCCTCCAGAGTCCGGAAGACCCGAGGTGCCTAGAGCCACTGCGGACCCTACCAGGGTTGCGGCTGGTAGGACCCAGGCCCCGGGAGACCCGCCAAGGGCAGCTGGCAGCTGCACCAATGCTGGATGCCTGCCAGGCTGGCTCAGTGGCCTCTCCCGTGTCCTGGGTGCAGCTGCTGGCCACATCTGAATCACCACCTACAGGAGACTGGCCCTGGAGGAAGGCGAGGGCCAGGCTCCTGCTCTGGGGACAGTGGACACTGAGGAGGCCTGATGCCCAGTCCTGGTAGCTGGGCCAGGGCCCGTCGGCTTCCGCCCCACCCTGGGCTCCGCTGCCCTCCTGCCCTCGCCTGGACGGCAGCTCGCAGCTGTCTGTGGTCCTCTGCCTCAGTCCTTCCCAGCCCCAGCCCTAGTGGGGGACGCGGCTACCCTGCCACAAGCCGGGGTCTCTCCGCCTGCAGGGCTCTGACTGCCCCTCAGCTCTGACAGGAAGCAGAGCCCCGAGGGGGGTGGCCACTGAAGGCCCGCAGAGCACCGATGCAGGGAGAGGGGAACGGAATGGTGGCTGTGAGGGACCCACAGGTCCGGGGCCTCAGCAGCGGGTGCGGGGATGCCCCATGTGGGCCTGCAGCGCTTCCCGGATGCCCTGCTGCCAGTCTCGTGCCAGCTGCACCGGCGTCAGGGAGGCCTAGGGACAAGGACACCAGGTCAGTCCTCCCTTTCCTCCAGCCCCGGGCGCAGGCCGCCACCCATGCGGACTCACCGCGTTCTGCACGGCCAGCTTGGCCCCGTAGAGCAGCAGCAGTTTCATGGCCTTGTAGTGGCCGTGCCGCACGGCCTCATGGAGCGCGGTGTCCCCTTCCTGTGGGGAGACGGGAGGTCCCACTCGTGCCCTCACCCGAGGGCCCTCAGCAGGGTGGCAGGGGCTGTGACCCAGGGGACAGCGCCCTGGTCTGCTGCAGGCTGCCCAGCCGCTGTGCCTACCTTGTCCTGGGCGTCAACCAGGGCTCCACACTCAATGAGGTGCTCCAGGCAGTTGGAGTGGCCCGTGCGCACGGCGACGTGGAGGGGGGTGCTCCAGATCTAGGAGGAGAGGGGCTCAGTGCCACGGCTAACCTGGTGGCCTCCTAGCTTCTCTAACAGGCCACCCAGAGCAGGCCCCTGCTCTCTCACCTTGTCCCGCGCGTTGACCTGGGCGCCCTGGTTAAGCAGCAGTTTGAGGATGTCCAGGTGTCCTCCTCGGCAGGCCCAGAACACAGGAGTCCTGTCCAGCTGTAACACAGAGGCCCCGAAGCCCTCAGACCTGCGGGGACGCTGCGCAGAGCGTTGGCGGTGAGGAGCAGCCTCCCGGGACTCACCAGGTCCCGAGCATCCACGGTGGCACCGGCCGCCAGCAGCTTGCTCACCAGCTGGAGGTGACCCTTCAGACAGGCCCAGTGCAAGGCTGTGCGGTGCAGCTGGGGCAGAGATGGGGTTAGGAGGGTGCAGCCACCCGGAGCACCCACCTGTTGCTCAGAGGAGGTCCCCAAACACTCGCCCCTCCTGCCATCAGCAAGGGCTTCTCCCTCCCAGCTCAGGACGCCACTGGTTCACGCCCCGATGACAAGCCCTGGCCTGGGACCACAGTGTGACACTCCTGCTCGGACAGGTGCCACAAGCCCTCGCCCACTGCACACCTTGTCGTGGGCATTGGGGTCCCCTCCATCGGTCAGGAACTTGTCAATCAGGGCCTCCTGGTTCTCAGCAGCTGCCTTCAGGAACATCTCCAGGTCCACAGGCTCCAGCTGGGCCTGGGGCTGCGACTGGGTGAGGGGAAGGACAAGACCAAGTCACTCCCCAGACCTGTAGGCACCTGTGACCACGGTGTCACCAATGATTCCTGGACAGCTGAGGACCGGTCCACCAATGCCCTGTGCGAGTAGTTCTCTTGAGTCTCCCCCTGAAATTCACACGTTGCTGGCACGGTGGCACATGCTACCATCCCAGCTACTCGGGCTGGGGCAGGAGGGTCACAGGCCTGAGGCCAATAGAGACAGGATCTTCCAAAAATTCAGATCGCATTTTAGCAAGATCCTGTCTCTAAGGATGGAAAGCGCCGATGATAAGCTCAGTGGCAGAGCGCGTGCCTAGCACACGTGAGGCCCTGGCTGCCGGCCCAGCACTGGGCGGGGACAGGGGGGACTGAAGTCCTAACCCCTGTACCTTGAAATGAGACTTTATTGGAAATAGGATCCTTGCAGATCTAGCTAGCTAAGATGAGGCCCCTTCCAGTGTGACTCGTGGGAAGGGTAGCCTGTTCCAGTACGGCTGGTGTCCCTCTTTATTTATTGGCCCCAGGGGTGCCACGTCCTCACTGAGCCACATCCTCCACTGTTTTCTTATTTTGAGACAAGGTCTCCCTGAGTTGCTCAGGCTGGCTTTGAACTCACAATTCTGCCTCAGCCTCCTGAGTCACTGGGATTATAAGGGTATGCCACTGTGCCCAGCTATTGGTGTCCCTTTAACAAGGGACGTTTGGACCCGGGGAGGAAGCCACCTGAGGAAGGGATGTTGCGTGTGCAGGCCGGGAGTGCCGGAGAGGAAGCGGCTTGAGTTCTGTGGCTTGAGTCCCCAGTCGCCCTAGAAAGCCATCACGGCTCCAGTGTGGAGTCCCTGTGGCTCCTGGTGGCCCCAGTACTACTCTTCCCCAAGCACCCCCCACCCAGGGACAGGGGCCTTCGCTTCTGGACCTGAGCCCCCGACTTCTCACCTTGGCCACGGGCTCAGGTTCCCTGGGGGGGACTCTGCGTCTCAGTCTCAGTCGCTTTTCTTTCCGTCTTTGAACTAAGTTTTCCAGGTCAGCCACGGTCTCCAGGTTCAGTCTGGAGCTGTTGAATCTTTCCAGCTGGGGTGGGAAGTGGCAGAAGGCGAGGCCAGGCCAGCCATCAGCCTGTGGCTGGGGCCCTGGGGCAGCCTCTTGGTTGGTGTGCTCCTGGGCTGCTCTGCCCAGAGACAGCACCAGCCCGGCCCCCAGGCCCTCGCTGCCCTGCTGCCCAGCCTGGACTGGCCACCCCGCAACAGCACTCACTTTCCTCTTCTTCTCTTCTTCCAATTTTTGCTTCTCCCGGGCCACAGCCTCTTGGAGTCCCAGCCTCCAGTCAGTAGGCCAGCCTCCAGGATCAGGAACTTTAGGCCCAAATCCCAACGTTTTCCCTTCAACCCTCTCTCCGCTCACCTGCAGGACAGGATGTGGGTGAGCAGCCCGGGAAACCCGAGGGAGGAACCCACAGGAAGCCTGGTGCAGGACCAGGGAGACCCTGACCAGCCGAGCTGGGAGTCAGCCTGACCCTCCCTTCCCGAAGCTCCCCGGTGCTCTGGAGCATGGCAGACTCTGACCCCTGTGGTGGTCCACACCCACGGTGGCAACCACAGGCAGCGGAGGCCAGGGCCCAACTGGCCGCTGCCTCCCCTGCCCTGCTCAGCAGCCTGCAGGGTTCGGGGCATGTGGCCACCTCTATATATAGTCCTGGGCTGTGTCCAGGAGCCCGGGGCAGATGACACCTTAGCTTCCCTCTTGGGCGATTGTCCCTAAATTCCTACCAGCTTGTGCTACACTGTCACCTGACTCCAAAATTCTAAACCCCTGGGCTCAGCTCTCTGCCTTTGGTGAAGCTGTTTCTACCTCAGTAAAAGGGGCTCAGACCAGCACTTCCCAAGGGCAAGGAGATGACCCGAGCTGCTGGGAGCTGGGCCGCGCTGAGGAGTGCGTGGGGTGGGGAGAAGGGCAGGGTGACAGGACAGCAGCTCAGGGCTTCCAGCCAGCACCAACACATGCCCTTCTGTGGCACCTGCCAATGTAACCTTCCCTGGGCCCTCCAGGCCCCTCCTGGCAGGGCCTATGGCAGGCGGGGGCCCCTGGCCGACCACGGGCCCGCTGGACAGCATACCTCACACCCTCTAAAACTGACACCTGAAATGTCACTTCTCTCTGTCCAGAGCTCACACAGCACCCCCTCCCCCATACCCTCTGGACCTTTCCAGAGCCAAGGCCATCATGGTGCTAAAGGAACGCCTCGCTACCCCTGTGTCCTCTGCAGTCACCTGGCACCTCCTGTTCTGCCACCCAGTTCAGGGCAAACTCACTAAACTCATGCTGAGGGTGCAGCTCTGTCTAGGTGCTTGTGAGGCGTCACAAAACACCAAAAAGACTCAGGAGGATGAGGCAGGAGGGTCACAAAGTTTGAGGCCAGTTTGGGCAACTTAGCAATACCCTGTCTCTAAGAAGAAAAGGGCTGAGGATGTAGCTCAATGGTAAATTGCTCAGGCTCAATCCCAGGACCAAACCCTCAAACCAACCAACCAACCGACCGACCCACAAAAACCCCCAACAAACAAAAAGCAAGAGAACAAACGTCAGCAAGCTCAAGGGTTTTCATGTCCGCCATCGCCCAACTCCTGCCCGCTGTCTCCCTGCCCTGCCCTGAAGCCCCTCAGCACCTGGCATGAGAATCAGGCAGAGACCAGGAGAGAACCCGGGCCTCCTTGTCCTCCCCGAACCTCAGACCATGACAAGAGCTGCCACCCTCCAGCCAGCAGGTGCCATTCTGCTGGGACAGTCTGCCCCCCACCCCACCGCGTCCTCACCAACTGCTGAATGCTGACAAAGTCCATGGTCCCCCCTGCTCTCCACACCCCCGGTGAGGGGAGCGCGAGGCTCAGCCCTTTTATAGGAGAGCTGAGGCCCGGGGGCGGGGAGGACAGGCTCGTGCCAGGACCAAATAACTCTGGAGGGCTGTCACACTCCCCAAAATACCAGCCTGGGACTGTGGCCCACAGAGGGCAAGAAAAGGTGCAGCCAGGAGCTGAGTCGGCCACCTCCTAGACAGCCACTGCCCTGCACCTGCCACACCCACGTCCCAGGGACGTTCCCCACTCTTCTGGTCCAGAGCCCACTTGAGAGGAGCCCAGGCCCAGCCTCCTGTTGTGTCTGGCTGCCTGGCACCAGCCCCGCTGCCCCCGCACAAGGCCAGAGTCCTCCCGAAACCTCGGGAGGGACAGGAGCAGAGGCTGACCTACTGCCTCAGGAATCCCCGTGGCCTCTCCAAGAGGGACCCAGGTCTCACGCGATGGCCCAGTCCTCCAGTCTCAAGGCCACCCTTCCTCCTCCGTCCCTCCCTCACCTCAGCTGACAGCCCCATCACCAGGAGGCGGTCATCGGTCCTCTGCCCTGTAGAAGTCCTCCATGCCCCCAGGCAGGACCCACCAGACACTCTGGGGACATGGCGGGCCCCTCCACAGGCACAAGGGACTGAGGCTGCAGGTTCCAGTTAGCGGGTGACCCTGAGACCCCTCTGCCTCGTCAAATGTCCTAAATCTCCTTCAGAAGCCAGCTGTGCTGAACTCTGCTTTGACCTTTGAAAGGAAACCAGATAGCTGGTAAATAAGGCTCCAGAATCGGAGCCACACCATCAGAGGTGACCAAAACAGGAAGGGGGAGCTGTGGCCGAGGAGGCCCGTGGTCCCAAGGCTGCAGAGGCCTTGGGGATCTGGGGAAACCCAGAGCTTCTAAAGGACCCGATTCTGAGGCCTGGGGGTGGCTTCTTTCGACAGACTCTCCAGGGTCTGAGGAGGGAAGGGCTTCCAGGGCAGAGCCAGGGCAGGCAGGAAGTCAGATGCCAGCTGTGCCCTCTGCTGTCCACTCGGCCTCCACCTCCTGCGATAGCAGGGGACAGGGCGTCCGAGCCAACAGGATTCACCTGAAGTCCTCAGCAGAAAGCCAGTCTACCCCCTGAAACTAATGGCTCTGTCATCAAGATCCCCAGCACTAACTTTAAACAAATTCTTCCTTACAGAAAGTCCAAACGTAAAGCCCAAGTCCCCGGATGAGCCCCTCCTGCCTCGGTGGCCCAGGGAAGCCATAGTGCTGGCTCAGTGCATGCCTCTGCCTTCCTGTGTCTCGTGCCCTGTTGTTCCTAGAGACTCTGTGCCATGGACACAACAGCACATGCCGCACTCCAGGAACATGCCCCTGCCCCACGGGCACCCTGGGTAGCACCCCTTCTCCTGAACACCCAGGTTCTCATGCCCCACTGCTGTTTGCTGCTGCTGTTGTGTTTTCTCTACAATCTGGGACCGACCCCAGGGCCTTGCACATGCGAGGCGAGCGCTCTATCACTGAGCCACAACCCCAGACGGAAAGACCTCTTTTATCCATGGAGGAATCTCTCTAGGTAGGCACAGAGAAATCAGATTACTGGCCCTGCTCATTTTATTTAAATAGATTTTGCAAAATTGCCATCCACAGTGACTGTACCAGTTCCTATGAACAGATACCAACAAAGACAAGTGATAATATGAAAGAAAATTTAAAAATTAATGTAAGCTGGGTGCAGTGGCGTACACCTGTAATCCTTGTGGTTCTGGAGGCTGAGGCAGGAAGACTGAGAGTTCAAAGCCAGCCTCAGTAACGGTGAGCCACTAAGCGAGACCCTGTCTAAATAAAATACAAAATAGGCTGGCTCAGTTAGCTGAGTGCCCTTGAGTTCAATTCCAGGACCCCCCCAAAAAAAAAGGCATATATGCAAAACAGTGTCAACACCAGAATATAAACAACTCCTACGAATATAAAGAAAAAAAATTAGCTGGTGTGAAGATGCTTGCCTATAATCCCAAAGACCCAGGAGGCTGAGGCAGGAGGGTCACAAGTTCAAGGCCAGCTTCAGCAAATTAGTGAGGCCCCAAGCAACTTAGTGAGGCCCTATCTCAAAGCAAAAAAGGGCTGGGGGTGTAGCTCAGGGTAAAGCACCCCTGAATTCAATCCGCCCCCCGCCCCTGACCAAAAAAAAAAATTTTAATGGGCACAGGCAGGCAGTTCAGAGACAGGTGTGCAAGTCTCGCCAGTAATTAGCAAAACAAACACAGCCAAGGAGACTTCCTACTCCCTGGATTACCAGGGTCAGTGAAATTGTTTTATAAAAGCCAGTGTGGACAAAGCTTTGGAACTGGGCACTCTTGTAAGTTGTGGGCAGTGTGCCAGATCCTCAGGTGCATCCCCCAGATTCACCTGCTCAGCCCCCAGAGCCACCCTGAGTACGCTCTCCTCTGATCCTCACCTCACAGCCCTGGAAACTGGAGCCATACAGGTAACATGGCTGTGCCAAGATCCCTCAGTGGCTCTGCCATCAAGATCCCCAGCGGCTCCATCACCTCGTCAGGTTTTCCTCTAGTATTCACCTGGTTTTGGGGGTTTCATTTTTGAGGCAGGGTCTTACCAAGTTGCTGAGGCTGGCCTCCAAGTTGTCCTGTCCCAGCCCCCCAAGTTGCTGAGGTCACAGGTGAGCAAGCCCCAGCTAGTTTTGTTTTTATATTAAGGTCTTTCATTCTTGGAATTCAGTTTGAATGAGGTAAGGACATGAGTTTATTTGTTTCCAGATGAGTGGCCGTTCATGTGACAGCAACGTAGAATATGCTCCTCTGTCCAGGCGTCCGCACTTCTAGCCACACTACCCCCTGCCACGCGGGCTCTCGGGGTCTCAGCCACAGCTTCCTGCCTGCAGCTGGGTGCTCGGCAAGGCAGGGGCCTGGACAGCTGTCGGTGTCCCTCCAAGGGCGGCCTGATGCAGGGGGCCTCAGCTGGCCAGCAGGCCACGCAGGTCGCTGTTGCAGGGCAGCAGGTCGCAGGCCAGCCGTGCCTTCCGGTCGCGCACAGCCTTCAGGGCGGGGCTGTGCTGCAGCAGCAGGCAGCAAATGTCCACGTGCCCCTTCTCGGCAGCCTGTGGAGACAGGGGTTTCAGAAGGGCTCCTTGGGCCTGTGCCTGGCTCCGTTTCCAGGAGTGTTCCTCTCCCTCCTACAAGGCCTGGAAATGGAGGTGCTGCTGGCTGCAGAGGTCCCTAATTCCCACTACCCAAGGACCTGCCCGGTGGGGTGCCCAGCCTGTTATTCTTCTTGCTTCCTTTGCCAAGGCCACTCTTGTTTGGACAGACTTGCTCATTAAGAACAAGAACAGAACCTTGAACCTGCAGGCATCTCCAGCCAGGCGCTGGGAGCCTGGGCAGAGAACATGGACACAGCCCTGCCCAGGAACGGAAATGAGCAGGGAAACGGGGGCCCAGGCCCCACTTTCTCTGTCGTGTTCCTCACAACTAAAACACACAGAGTCACTCCAGGGGAACTGGGCTGCACGAAATAACCACACAAGAGAGGAGATACCTTTTTCTTTGGGGTCCTGTGATGGCTCCTCTGACCTTATGGGTGGGGGGGGGAGAGAGAGAGAGAGAGAGAGAGACAGAGAGAGAAAGAGAGACAGAGAGGGAGGGAGAGCACTGACCCCTTTTATTGAGGAGAAGCCATTCAAATGAGGCAAGGGGTCAGTTTCAGGGGACTGAGTCCAGCTTCCTGATGTCTGCTGTCGGCAGGTTGACTGACATCTAGGAAGGCCCCACCCAAAGGCAGAGCAAGAGAAGGGACACACAGAGGGCGTTTCCCAAACAGGGCAAAGGGGTGATATCACAAAGGAGCAGCTGAGGGGAGCTTAATCCATGGGGCGACACACCACGTCTGTGAGATGTCGTGACGGTCAAAGCCTCTCGGCTCCAGGATGGAAGGTCATTCAGAGTGGCTGTCCACATTTCTCCTTCTTTTCTGAGACAGAAAACCCTGTTCTAAATATCGCTATCTAACCTACCTCCTCCAAAAGACAACAGAGGTCAGTGATTCACATTAATGATCTCATTTAGCCTTCACTGACCCTCAGGAACCATGTTCACCCCACTTTAAGAGGAAGAAACATAAGCTAATATAAACTAAGCAACTGCCCAAGGTCACAGAGCAGCCTGGGACCCTCAGCCAGGTGGGTCTGGCTTTAGAGTCTGAGCTCTTCCCACTCTACCCCAGTGCTGGGGGTGGAACCTGGGGCCTGGGGCGTCAGGCAAGTGCTCTGCCACTGAGCTAAATCCCCAACCCCAGTCCTTTTTGTATTTTATTTGTAGACAGGGTCACAGTGAGTTGCTTAGGACATCATGAAGTAGCTGAGACTGGGTTTGAACTTGTGATCCTCCCGTCTCAGCCTCCTGAGTGGCTGGGATTACAGGTGAGCGTCACTGCACGGTGGGTGACTACAGGGGCTTTTGAGAGGTATCAGAATTAATACTAGTATCGACCACCATTCCAAATTTGAATCCAAACCTCTGTCTGCAGATCCCCCTGGAGAGCACAGATTGAGGGCTCTGGGCTCTGCTGCCTCAATTTGGGTGGCACTGAGCCGCGAGCAGCTGTGAGGGGTCCCACCTAACTTTTTTTTACGAAAAATGAAGTGCTAATGTTTGCGAAGTCCATTTAAAAAACCACACACCGAACAAAACCAGAAACGTATGTCCATCACCGTCTCTACATACCTACCCCCAGGTTCTCACTGTGGGCGAGGGAAGGGGCAGTGCCGTAGCTGAAGGCGGCCAGCCGTGGGCACACAGCCAAGCACACCCCAGCAGCGTCCTGCCGAGATGCTCCCTGTGCGTGTGGCAGCAGAACACCTGGGCCGCGGCAGCCAGCGCCCATTAGAGGGGCCCAGGCAGGCAGAGCTCAGGACAAGCGGCAGGGGTAGGCGACCCTGGCCAGCCTGGCGGTTTGGCTCTGGCGGTTTGGGAAGAGAGCTTCTGGAGACTGCAAAGAGGGCAGGGCTTGATGAGACGCGTTGGAAACCACTGCTCTGGTGGGAAAACCAGGGTGGAGGCGAGAGGTGAATGGGTTCACATCCACGGGCCTCTTGCTGAGAACTGCCTGCAGGGGGCACCTGGAGACCAGGGGCAGACCTTTGGCTTCAGGCTCTTCCCCACAAGAACAGGCGTTTCTGGTCAAAGGAGTTTAATGGCACTGCCAGGCTGTGAGCTGGAAGTGGGCTGCCAAGCAGGGAGGGGGGAGGGTCAGAAAAGCACCCCTCAGGGCTCCACAGGACAGAGAGCCGAGCACCTGGCTCATGTCCGTGGTGTGCACAGGAAAAAGGGTGGGAAATCACGCTGATCCTTGGAAGTTGGCACACACTGAGGCTTCAGGTGCTCTTCATTTCCTCCTCTACACTTTCCCATTCCCCATGTTTTCTACCGTGAAGATGTCGTTAACCTTTATAATAAGAAAAAGCGAGTTCTACAAGTGGCAGAGGGACGCACCTTGTGAAGACTGGTCATGCCATCGTCGTCCACCAGCTGGGGGTTGGACCCGTGTGCGAGCAGCAGCCGGGCAACCTCAGTGTGCCCACAGTAGCTGGCCCGGTGCAGTGCAGTGGCACCCCCGTGCGTCTGGGCATCGCACTTGGCCCCATTCTCCAGCAGGAACTGACAGACAGCGTAGTGCCCATTGCGGCTGGCGTAGTGCTGCAAGGACAGAGGACATGGCTACACAGCAGGACCCAGGCAGGTGACCGGGTGGTGGGGGAGACATGGGCTCTGTAGCAACGGGGGCCCAGCTTAGGGACCACCTGCTACTGCACATCCTAGCATCAGTTTCTCCTACTGGAATAAACATTCCCACAATCATAAGACGGTCATGAAAATAAAATGAAATACCTGATGTAAAGCTCTTATACTAATTAAAACATCCAGGTTCACGTGATGCTTAAAAAAGAAACTTTGCAGCTAGACGTGGTGGTGCACACCTGTAATCCTAGTGACTCGGGAGGCGGAGGCAGGAGGATTGTACATTTGAGGCCAGCCTCAGCAATTTAGTGAGGCCCTAAGCGACTTAAGACCCTGTGTCTCAAAATAAAAAAAAATTTAAAAAGAAAACTGGAGATATGCTCAGTAGTTAAGCATCCCCAAGTTCAATTCCCAGTACCAAAAAAACAAACACGAAGCTTTGCTGAAATATAGGGAACATAAAATGTCAGTCACCTTTCCATCACCGTGACAAAGATAATCAGCTTAATAAGGGAAGTCTGGCCTGGGGCAGAGCTCAACGGCAGAGCATAGGCCTGGCTTGTGTGAGGCCCTGGGTGTGACCCCTGGCCACACAAAAACAGTAACAATAAGAATAATGACAATGACAATGAAAAGATTCAGACCGTGGTTGGCTGGCCTGCTGCTTTTGGGCTGGTGGCAGTCAGCACACCATGGGG